GAATTCAATATCTATTTTCTTTAAACTTTTTCTTATTTTCATCTTTGGGAATTTCCCTGTATTTTGGAATGTAGAATCACACAGAAATTAATGTTGAGAAATGAAAGTTGTGTTGAGAAATGAAAGTTGTATTAAACTAACTTAATTTTTTTTATCAATTTTTGTATACATAACAAAATAGTCAATAGAAACATTAAATGTATTCTCAAAGGCTTTCACGGTTGGCATCTGATGGTGGTTGTAGGTTTTTTGGGCTCTTTGGCCATGTTCTGAAGGTTGTTTTTCCTGACGTTTCACCAGTCTCTGTGGCCGGCATCTTCAGAGGAACAGGAGTTCCTCTGGAACAAAAAACACACAACAACCATCAGAAACATTAAACTTCAGACATATTGTAGGAATCATGTCAACTTTTCCAAGCTATTTCCTCTGCTCTAATCAAAACATATCTTCTCAGAAAGGAGAGATGGTTACTATTTGAGCCTCTCTCTTAAAATGACCAGGGCTGTATGCTACTGTTGATACTGTATGTGTTCAGCGTTCTCCCTCGGGAAGCATATTCCGGGATCAGATGTTTTCCATCAAAAGCTAGTCCTAACCAGGGGGAAAGGGAGAAAACCACAAATCTCACGTTGTAACTGCCATTGTATATTATCCATCTGGGTAAAAGTCACAAGTAGAGATCACAAATTTTTGGAAGGTAGAAGGACTGGGATAGGGAACAAAGAGTGTAAGTAACTATAGACATGTATATATGTTATCTAATTGCAGACCGTATGGGACATGCTGGCAAATTTTAATTTAACCCCAATAAAATTTGCCAATAAATTGCTGATGACAATAAAACTTTGCCTCTTGTAACAACCTCATTTCACCAAGAATTAAAATGCAGCCTCATCTTCTATGAAGCTAGCTGTAGCAAATACATTATTTCCAGATTGTCCTGTAGCTATAGCCATTTGAGGAAATAATGGGTTTTTTTCCTCAGTTGTCCTTCAATGATCCCAAAGGTGGCTGCAGGAATTTTAAGGGGGTGGGGTTGGTCTGGGGGAGTCAAAGTGACATAATGGCATGTTAGCCTAACCGCATACCCACAACAACACATTGCCTCTGTCGGTGTACAATAAAATAAAATAGGATTGTGGTGGTGGTGTCGCTTTGCCTGCCCTGCAAACACCAATGGCTGATTTGCATTTCAATGTCACCCTGGAATGACCTTATGCAGCTCAAGAGAGATTCCCAAATTAAGCATTCGTGCCCTGATGTAACAATTATCCAATGCCAGCCTTTTTTGCTGCCTACTGGAACCCTATTATCATGTGCAATCGCTATCATTCATTTACCTCTGGCCAATTCTATCCAGAGTTAGGCTAGTCTGAGGCACAAAGGCCAACCGACATTTAAACAAAAGGTATCTTTCACCTGTTTTCTGGGCTGCAGTTTGATATCCCTTCCAAATCTGCCACCTCATTTCCATATTGCTGCTTCATTCAGCAAATGCCTTTCAGAAATTCGGAAAAGAAGAGGAATGGACACACAGTCAAAGAGTAGTTTTTGGCACTCGTTGTCATTCAGGGTTGCCAAGACTGTTTATATACTAAAACCAGATGAAAACAGAGCTATTCTAACCCACAAGTAATGCAAAAATTTGATACAAATAAATTTTGCTTTTATTTATTTAATGATACTTTTTTTGCAAGTCATTGTGTGGAGTTGGCTCCAAGATGAGACATGCTTAATGCTGATATATGAGAAAATATCACATATACTATATTCATATATATATATATGGATGCATTTTATAATGGGCTCTTATCAATGAACCAAACTGTAAACCTGTGTTTTTTAATGGTTGAACAGCAGCTACATCCTTGAGATGTTTTCTCAGTAATGTCAGTTGCTATCATTGTTGCTATTGCAAGAACAGGACAAGTAAGAGTCCTGTTACTTTGGATTTATGACAGGTGGTGGTCTTTACTAGGTGCTTATTGCCTGGATAACTTAACAATTGCTAATGAAATTCTCAGCTTCCCACCCAATGGAAGTGACCAGCTTGTCGTTTAATGAGAAACCATGTATGTGAGGGAATGGGAAACCCTAACAAATGAAGAGGTGTATAAAAGCCTTTCTAGACCCTCCATGTTCACTAAAGTCTCCTTCATGACTTATCAGAAGAAAAGGATGATAGATAAATGGCGACATAGTACAGGAGTAAAGAATATAAAATGTATGTTAGTAGCTCCCAAAATCTCACATCAGCTATGTGGGCAAGCTACTGTCTTCTTTTGTCACCACCTTCTCCACATCTCCAATATGTTCTGATTTCTCCAGATGAAATCAGAGCAGAATTCAGAACCTTATTAAAGCTGCCATTATTTTTATAATGACATGAAACCCTGCATTTAGAAAAAAGAGACTGTGCTTTACTTATTTATAGTAACATAGAATACAATAAAAGATACAGTCATTAGAGGAATCAAGAGACAAATTTACTCTCCAATAGAAATTCTGTTTTTAACACTGCAGAATACTTTTTTTAAAGGAAAGGGGGGGGGACAGAGACTCATCAGTTTTGTTTCCCTAAGGATGATTGTAATGGTCAAATTTTGAAAAACACACTTGACTGGCCAGTACTAAATTTACAAAGTCATATCCTCTGGGACTGACATATCCTCTCCATTGTTTAATTTTGAAATTAATTTTATTAGAGATGGGCATGAACCTCCAGTTTGGCAGCATGTGCCGATTCGTATTTTGGCCAAACAGATGTTCGGTGCTTCCCAGCCCCTTCTGTTCCGACAAGCACCCATTCAGAGCCAGTGCCCAGAGGAGATGGGTGGCCTGCTGCCTCTGGGTTGACATCTGCCAGAGGAGATGGGGCTGAGAAGGGTTGAATATCTGTTTGACCCAAAACCAGACTGACACAAACCACCACTCAACTGGTGGTTTGTGTCTGTCTCTCAATTGTATATCATTTTGAGAGGTTGGAGTATATCTGAGAGGGGGGAAAACATACAATATGTATATATTTTGGGTCTCTGGAACAGAAAGTTAGAATATCCATGCTACCGAGAGCAAAAAGTCATGGTGCTTCATCTGCTCATGGATCCCTAAACATTCAGTTTAAAGGTCCTCCCAGCTAGATCAATGGCAGAGAACATTATATATTTTAGGAAAACACTATATATGTATATATAGGAAACCATAGTGTTTTCCTCCCACACCCCACTCCTAACCAGTATATTATCATATTCTTTTACTCCTCTAGCTTCAAGTCTCAGTTGAAATATCTTGGCAAACCTTAATGGAATCCAAAAAGGTGGCGGAACAGCATGTTCAATGAAGGAGGAAGTAGTGATTTTTTTTTCCACAGTTTGTCACAACTGCTTAAAAAAGAGAGATATTTAACAAAGCCTTTCCTGGTTCCTTTTAGTCAGCATTCCTCATTGACCTCAGAGAGCTGTATCTCCTTCCATCAGCAGACACTTCGATCCACTATCAAAGTAAGAGTCTTTTTAAATGCTGTTGATTATAGCTGGGCTAGTATACAAAATATGTTTAGTGATATTATTAAAAGTGCCCCCCTACAAGACATCACATAGTCTAGCCATGGAAATATTCTATTATAACAACTTAGCATGTTCCAAGGAGAAGGTGGGGAGAAGGATAGACTAACCATTCAATGGATAGTTGTACAAAGTAAATAGCTCAAGGCAGCAGGAAAAAGGAGAGACAGAAGGAAAATTCCTCTTTTGTCTTGTCTGTTCTTTGTGAGAGAGCTGCCTTTTTAAACAAGTGTTTCCCTTTGGTACAGGCAGGCTTTCAAACTATGCTGATCCTTGTTTTTAATGAGCACTGCTCAGAAAGGCCTGCAGCTAATACTATAAGCATCTTTTCATATTCTCAGCAATGAATCTACTTAGAGAAATGGCAGCAGGCACAACATAAAGGGCCATTTTGAGCAGAAGATTTCCACCCATTATTGTTACTTTCCTATTGTTAAGGGTGACTCATTCTGTAACTCAGACTCCAAGAGCAGAAGAAAATAGTATTTTCCCTCATTTGCTGTCAATGTCTCGAAAACCACAGAACTGGGTGCCTGTGTAGCTCCTTTAAGAGCTTCCCAACAATAAGAGCTTGCACTTTCTTTGAGTATTTTAGCTGCGTACATTTTACATCATTTAATAAACATCATTATCCTCATGTTATGTGACTATAATGGGCAGTGTGGTGGGGGAAGGAGAATTTCCAGCTGTGTTACTATCCTGACCTCATTCCACACAAAAAATTTTGTCTGTGTCCACAGGGTCACTTGTAGTGTGGGGAGGATTTTAGAATATACTGTGGTAATACTGATACCCAACAGAGGCATTCAGAGAATTTTTAGCCACATCATATTAACAGCTCCAGAAAAGGGACACCTAAGCTAAAAATGTGTGGAACTACATGCTGTATACCCCCAAATGCTAAAGCATGTAATGATCTCATCAATACAGGCATATATGTATTTATTTTCAGGGAGAAGGATACGAATTTGGTAAGGGCTTGCCATGTCTTCATTGGCATGATCTCTGGGATAGAAACATAAAGACTATTGCCTAGAGTTATGGATTGCTCATTATCTTTTTTGGAGATGGGAGCACCTTTGAAGGCTGTGTTTCCTTTGGAGAGTAGAATATGAACACTGCAGGCACTTGGTTATCTCTACCATTTACAAATTAACAAGTTGCAAGGTCGTAACAAAGCTATGTTTCAAAAGCAATGAAATGATTCGTAATGATGTTACTTCACTGATGTAATGATTTATGTTTTCTACTTGGATTTATGTTTTCTACTTGCCATCTTGGAAACGTGCTGGTTAGAATTATTTGTAATAATTGTATTATATATGTTTATTTTAATGTGTTTTAACCTGTGTAAGCCACCCTGAGTAGACGTAGTCTAGAGGGGCGGGGTAAAAATTGAATAAATAAATAAATAAATAAATAAATAAAAATACTTACAACACTTTTTGGACAGGAATATTTCATATTTTATGCCATTCTCCTATCAAACTGAAGGAGTTCCCCTCTCCCTCAGTGTCATGAAAACATCTACAAAGCAAATTCTTAGATATGTCATGGAAAACTTAATGCCAGGGATGAAGAAGTAAACCCATGAAATGTAGAGTTGGTAGGTTTACAGCATATCATTTCCTGGGATTTCAGTGCGAAATTCCCTAGAAACCTTTGGGATGTCACAGAGAGAGTCCTTGTGATGTCAAATGGGTGGATATTATGATGTCAGAAGTGAGGCAAGCAAGGGCAGCAAGCACAACATATACAACAGGTACTTTTGTGCTGAGACACTGAGTCTTAGTGAACTGAGAAAGAGTGGAGATGGCTTTAAAGTAGAGATGAGCACAAACCAGAAAACCAGTGGCTCATGATGATTTGTGGGCTGTGACTACCCACGAACCATGAACAATCACAACTCCCCTGAAAAATGTATTGGTCCATGGTTCATTTTTCAGGTTTGTTCCAGGTGAGAGCTTCTGCCTTCCCACCCCCTTCCCACTGACCCTGTCACCTCCATACCTGGTCTTGCAGCTGTCACCACCATAATTGCCATCATCAGAGACAGTGGACTGGCTTCCCTTCCTGGAGCCAATCACGGCCTCTAAACATGAGCAGAAGCAGGAGGCCCTTCCCTGTATGAGAAGCCAGCCTGCTGTCTCTGAAAATGGTGGTGGCAGCATGACCTGGATCTGGATGTAAGGGTTCAGGTGGAATGGAGAGGGCACCGTGGCATACTGTGGAGCCAGCCTGGTCGTGCGGCTGCCTTTGGATGACACCCACTGGACATGTTGGTGATATACCTGGCTGGCAATGATTGGGCACGTTTTTCAGGGTGGTCCCTGATAACTGATGTGATCCGTGGCCACAGTTATGTTTTCTGGGCAGAAAGATACGCTGCTGCATCCCCATGGGGGAGCAACATAGGCCTGGATGTCAGGGCTCATGTAGAATGGAGAAGACACTGCAACATGCTGTGGAGCCAGCTTTGTCGTGTCAGCTGCCATTTTCACGACACCTGCTGGACGTGTTGGTGATACACCTGGGTGGCAACAATTTGGCACGTTATCTGGGGAGGTCCCCAATAACTGATGTGATCTGTGATGAGTTCATGTGGAATGGAGAGGGCGCCGCGGCATGCTGTGGAGTCAGCTTTGTTGTGTGGCTGCCTTTGGCTGGGGTGTTTGGAAAACCGGAGGGCATTTAAGGACATGAATCCCTCGTGACTTCTTCCTTGTTTGTTTGGCATCCCGCCCACCCACCAGATGTGCTGGTGATACACCTGGGCGGCAATGATTTGGCATGGTAACCGGGGTGGTCTCTGGTAATCGATGTGATCCGTGACTTCACTGGGTGACGGGCACCTATCCGGAAATGCCTGTTATATGGTCAACAGTTGTCCCTCGCCTGTTTGGAGGGGGGGCAGACAGTTTTGGCCCATAAACACTGCCCAGGGAGAGTTAACAGGGAAATCTGCAGAGCAGTTTGTGGTGGCCCAGGATCAGTGGTCGGCCACCACAGGAGCTGGCTCGATAGGCCAGAATTTTTTAGGCCGGATGGCGTTCATCTGTCTGAACGAGGTTTGGATGTCTTCCAGGAGAACAAGGAGGGGCTGCTGTTGGAGCTGGAGCAGTTCGGTGGGGAGCATGGGACATAGTGCAGTTAGTCCTAATGCTGTGGTGGTAGTGCAGATTGGACAGGTATTGGAACCAGGATTTTGATGGTAATGGCAGGAAATTGGAGCTCATCTGAACTCCCAGCACTGCGGATCAGGCGATTACAGTGCTTGGAGGGAAAGATGTGCTGGGGACACACCCGGACCCACAGTCGGCACACAGAGAGGGGCAGGGGGTCTGGGGCAAAATGGGGGCCAGTAGCAAAATGGGGGTCCATGGTAGTTAAGAAGGGGATAACTGAGGCCTGGGTTCAGCCTATTGGCTGTTCAGTGGTCACTCTGGAACCCAAGATGGAAACCTGAATCCGCACTACAACAGGACGCCCGCTTTGCCAAAGGATTGGCAATATTCATGAGAATTGAATGGAGTTTAATAAAGTGTGGCCCGTGTTTAACCCATACACTTGGTCTTGCGTGGTTATTCTGGGGTAAGGGGGCAAAAATGTTTGGTGCTTTGTTTTGCTTCAGCAAAACAGGATCCCTGAACTGAGTCATGAAATGAATCCCAAACCAAACCAATTCATCATGTTTTTCTGGTTTGTGGTTGGGTTTGTGACCATCTGTACTTTAAAGCCATCTCAAAAACAAACCCCACAGCTTCTCCCCCTGAAATATTACTTGCCCCCAATTAGTAACATTTATCTCCTTGCTTGATTACCAGGAAAAGGCAAACAATCTTCTGAGATTTCATCTGGTGGGCTGAGACGTGGAAGCCCTTCTCATCCCTGAAAATGGCTGGCTTTGGTTTCTTACATGGCTCAGTTTGGATATTTAGTGAGAGGAACAGCATTTGCTTTTGCACCTCAGTTAGCAAAACACCTCAGTCAATAGCATAGGCCACATAGCTGTCTAGGGTGTAATTTGAAGATAACAAAATTCACAATAATATTCTTTACTTGGCCTGCCTGCCTTAACAACAGCAGCAGAACACTCAGAAAAGACAACTTCCTCACTATTTTCTTCCTGGATGTTCTTGCACAGTTTTGGCCATGGTGCACACACGCATCACTGGCAATGTGCCTCATAGAGTTGCACCACCCAAAGTGATAGAGTGTGTACCTAGATTATCAAATTTGTCCATACTATTTGCTTCCACCTGTTCTACTGGGGCCGTTGTGTCCCACACGAAAAAAGCCTCCAAAGATGACATGGGCCCTTATTAGTAACAGGCAGGGCATCACAGACTTCTGAATTCCTCTGCAAATACCAGAAGATGAAGGAAGTTCACAGATGTGAATGCCACAGTTCAAGAACAAGGGATTGTCTCACAAGAAACCAAAGAAGGACATGGACTGCACCAGATAACAAAATACATATTGAACCCTTCTTCTTACATCTTTCAATTTAAAAAAAAAATCTTAATGTGTTATTAGTTTTGAGGTTGGTGATTTTGACTGTTGCCTCTGTCAGCAGTTTTGTAACTTCACTCTTTATATCTCCTCCTTGTCAAATTATCTGAAATACCTAAATAATGCCCTCAGAATTTGAATTGAAAATATACCCTGCAGCAAGTGACCCAGTATTCTGCATAGATCCAACATGAACTCATTGTAGTTTATATCATTTTTATTTTGTTGAACTATGGCAGAAGAACTACCAATCCAGATACATTTGTAACATGGAGTCTTTATGTTCTTGGAATATATGTATATATGAGTTCATGTTGGATCAGATGAGTTCAGGCATAGTCAGTTGGCTGACATAGATCCTGACGGATGACAGCAGGAACTGAGCCACAGGGAAGCCAACAGCAATTGTAAATTGTTCTGAATGAAGAAAAGAGTTTTGTTTTGCTTTTTAAAGAAGAGTGAGCCCACAATTTTGGGAAGTGGATTTACTCAGAAGTATTACTTTGTTATCACTCCTCTTTATTACGTTTTCTTTTGAACATATTAGTCACATATATACTTTTTTTTTCCAAACATTTTGTTTACTTTTTTTTCAAGCATTATTTTTCAGGAAAACATATTTCTGGAGATATTCTGTGGGAAAAGATGGTGGCTTTAATTAGGAGACATCAGCTGTAATCTAATACCAATGTGTCTGGGAGCATTACGTAGTTATATTAGTTTTTTTAAAAAACTACATTACTTTTTAAAAAAACTATTAAAATTGGGTTCAGCCTGTTTTGAACCACTGCCACTGTCTCTTTCCCCCCCTCTGGCCTTCCAGTTTCAGCCCATGTCTCCTCCTTTGTCCCGGTTGTGTGTGCATCGTTTTGTTTGCACTTTTGTGGTGTGTGTCGGCCACCTGTTGCCGCCGGGCTCTCCTGCATGCATAAGTGCTCACAAGGCACAGCTGTGTGCAAGGAGGCTTTCCTGGCACCAGCCTGCTGAACTGTTTCCATTTGCACTTCCCTGCTCCAGATGCCCACACCCAGGCTTGCCCACCTGCCTCTTTGAATTCCAGCATTGGGTTGGAGAGGGAGTTACACGCATCTGATGAGGGTGTCCCTTCAAAAACACACGCATCTGATGAGGCTGTCCCTTCAAAAACACTGCATTAAATGTTTGTTCGAAGGCAATGCAAACTGTGATTTAAATACTGCCACATGTGTATTAAATGTTTGTTCGAAGGCAGTGCAAACTGTGATTTAAATACTGCCACATGACTCAGAATTGGATTAACTCAATTTCATTTATAGTAACACATATCTGGAACTATTGCGTTAATGTAAACGAATCCTGAATATAGTGAGACTTACTTCTGAGTGGACATACATAAGATGGCATGATGACATTTTAACTATAGCAACTAAATTGGTTATATATACTGCCACTTTTGGCTGTAAATTTTATTTTATCTCTTTGCTCTGTGCCACTTGCATTTTGGTTAAAAAGAAGACATGGCACTGATGTCAGTTTCTACAACATGTTTTGTTTCACCTTTCAACATTTCTCTTTTGCTGGGTAAGACCAAATCCAAATGCTTCGTAACAGCAAGATGTTACCCCTTCGCCTGTTTTTGACCCGCTCCTTCCTTCCAAGGAAAAATGATGTTTCCCTCAAGGTTTAATCTGAATCACGGGGTGGATTTTAGAACCTGAAGCAGTACTTGAGTTGGCTTTATGTGAAGGGATGTCATATCCCATACAGCAAAGCAAATAACAGCAATATCACCAAATAAAACAATTGTTACTGCATTGTATACAGACCCAGCCGTACCTACTTGTTTCATCTTTCTCTGAAATATTTTCACGGCAGATTTAATTTTTCTCCAAATGGATTTGGTCAAATTGATCTTTTCTAGTTTCTTAAGCAAACAAGAGTGTCAACATGCAATTCACTTTTAAACAGTGAGTCAATATCTATCCTGTGTAAACAGCACTTAAAGTTATCTCCTGCCATGATTCAATGGATGTAAGCTTAAATGCATAATTGTTTCTGTTGTTTAAAAAGCTCTGTCTCACTC